GGATGGTGGTAACTGCCGTCTGCAGTGTGTTTACTGTGTCAGGCTCCTTGCATAACTATCTCGTTTAGTCATCACCTGAACCCAGTTGGAGCATCATCATCCCAATGAACAGAAGAGAAAACAGGCCGCTGAGATTAATTTGCCCAAGATCACTTGTCCATTGCCTCACGTGTAAAATGAGTTAGTAACAGAACTAGACTCCATTGCCTGCTGGTTTGTTACAGAGTCGCCTGAGATAGTCATGAGCTACGAAGAGGCACAGCCTTGGGAATATAGGGGTCTGTTGTAAAGCAAGTTTTGCCTTTTCCCCTTGAATTTGGGTCTCTTTTTCAAGGCTTCTAAAGCGCAGGCGCCCTTTGCGCGGGCCACGGTCGCCCTCTGCCGACGCAAGAAAAGGAACGCGCTGAGAGCGACTGTTTCCGGGCCTGAGAGTCCGCCAAGAAGCTCGCTGGCCTGTAGAGGGCGCCATCCAGTGTGCAGAGTGGCCCACTCGGCCGTCCCTTCCTTAGCCACTTCCTGTCTGATCTCTATGATCCACCCGGTTACGTCACGGGAAGTTCCTGGAGTTTTCAATTTATCGTAAACAAAAGGGATGTGCCCCGACCCGGAAGTGGAAATTGGAACCGGGTCGGTGTAGCTCCGAAGGCCATCGGTGAGGAGGCGGGGGGAAGCCGTAGCCATGGCGGTGGCTGTGGCCATGGTGGGAGCCGTAAACGGGACGGAGCTAGGCCCCGCGGAAGAACTCGCCAAACTCGAGTATCTGTCTTTAGTGTCGAAGGTTTGCACCGAGTTGGACAATCACTTGGGGATCAACGACAAGGATCTGGGTGAGCTCGGGGAAGTTTCCGCGGCCTCCGGGCTTGGGGTCGAGGGAAGCGGAAGGAGAAATGGGTTGAGGGGCTGGGTGTGTGTCCGTAGGAATCTCTCTCTCTCAGAGACTTGGGCCCAGGAAACCTGCGGCCGTGGCCTCCGCATTAAGAGCTCTCCGGGCGGAGTTGTTAGATACCATTTTCCAGGGCTGTCAGTGAAACCCAGAGCGGCCATCGCTGCTTGCTCTCCCCCCCCCCCCCCCCCCAGCCTCAGAGAAATTAAGCAGCATTAACAACAGCAGCTGCGTCGTCGTCGTCGTCGTCGTTGTTGTTGTTGAGGATGATGATGATGATGATAATGATGGTAGACATTATTCTTCTTGCACCGGCTGCTTGTTGAGGAACTTTAAGGCAAAGTAATCAATACGCCGTTGTGGGATCTCTTGGGGCGGCCTGACCTGGCCCAAGATATCCCACAATAACGACCTGTGAGGGCTGTTGTGAGGATCATGGGACGGAAGCACTTAGCATAGCGATTGGCATGTAGTAGATGGTCAAAAAGTCTTAACCACTGGCACTGTTGTTATTAAGTCCATTGTAGCCTGATGGCGTTTGGTTTTCACTTACTGTCATCAAACAGGTAAAGGCACATTCCAGCATGGAAATGGTATGTTAGGACTAATTTATGTTCGTTATTCAGATCTTCCATGTTATTGTTATTTGTTAGGATTAAAATCCGAATGAAATCATTCAAATTTTCTCCTAGGACTCACAGTTGGAGGCATATTATCTCAGCTTATCCTAAAATGCACTTCTCTTCTGAAAGTCTCTTAATTATTAAGTAGCTCTAACATTAGAAGTTTCAAAAACTAGGCAGGTTTACGGAGAAAAATTTGGGGGGCAAGTGAGTCTTTTATTAACTTGGAGATTGTACCATCCAGCGGTTGCCCGGCCCTCATATATAGAGTCTGCCTTTCCAAAAGCTGTAGAAAGCATCCTGTGCATGCATCCGTTGCGAGTGTGTGTATGTGTGGGTGTATGTATGGGCTCATGCTTTCAGACATTGTAACCTCTAGCTAGTAGTTTCATAGAAGAGATTACGATGATATGGGACAAGGAGGTCTTCCTCCCTTACATTCACTCAGAGGCCTGGTGAGCCATTTTGTAGTGACAGCTTTTCATTTGTGAAATTTAACTAGAGCCCTGGTTGGGTGGCTCAGTTGGTTGGGGTATCATCTGTACACCAAAAAGGTTTTGGGCACACACCATGTTGCAGGTTTGATCCCCAGTTGGGGTGCATATGGGAGGCAACCAGTCGATGTTTCTCACTCTTCCTTCTTCTCTCTCTAAAATTAATAAACATATTCTGGGTGAGGATTTTGAAAAATGAACTAGAATAAGAATACCTTTCTTTTTACTAGATGGGATGCTGCCTGATTCATGAATTGTTCAATAAAGCCAATGAGATCTTTTAAAAAATTTAGCTGGAACCGACATGGATAATCTTGGTAGTCTAAGTTCTCTTCCTTTACCCTTACTGGATGGTGGTCTTTGGTTTTTATGACTTTGGATAACCTAGTTAGTTTTGGTTATAATATTTTTTTAATTGATTTTTTTTGCTCAAGTCTCCATTCTTGTTTTAATTTCTTTTCTCTCTTGCAGCTGAATTTGTGATCAGTCTTGCTGAGAAAAATACCACCTTTGATACTTTTAAGACTTCTCTGGTCAAAAATGGTGCAGAATTCACGGTATGTGTGTCTGGAGACCCCTGCTTTCTTTTACTGTCACTATTGAATTTTAATTTTGATAGGATTTAATTAGGGTTTTGATAGAGAAAGGAGATACTTTGTACATACCAATCTGATACATCATTAAGTGTATAATTTTTTTTATTTTTCAATTACAGTTTATGTTCAATATTATTCTGTATCAGTTTCAGGTGTACAGCATAGTGGTTAGACAATCAAGTGTAATGTTTTCATGCCACTAAGCAGTGGTGATGTAACTGGATTTCCTCTGACACTTTTCTAGAAAAATGGGGCAGGCAGGGATAACCACTCTTCTCTAAACTTTAGAGGACATCCCTCTTCTTAGTGTTTTAAGCACTGATCCAGGAGCTGACAATTTTTGTTCTGTTTGTTTTCAAAGGATTCTCTTATTAGTAACTTGCTGCGTCTCATACAAACCATGCGGCCTCCAGCAAAGCCTTCTACTAGCAAAGGTGAGCAGAGCTGCTAGCTGAGCTTAGCCTCCAGAATGGTGTAGACTGTCAAGCATTCTGTTTCTGGTTTGATGCAAATCTAGTGTGGAAGTTCATTTGTTAACCATTAAGAATATTGTGTTTGTTTCGCTTGTTGCAGCTGCTGAACAAGTAAATGTTGTAGTAAAATTTTTCAAATGACTTAAAGTTAAAATTGTGAGAATTATAAGACATAACCAACCAAATGAATACTGATACACTTCCCGATGCCCACATAGTTTGTTGAGGTTTTATAATCAACTAGGGGCCCAGTGCATGAATTCGTGCACCTTGAAAGGAACTGTGGGCCGTGAGGCTGCAGTGGGCACAGGGGCAGGTCTCGGCTCATCCTCCGTGCTCCCACCATGGCCCCTGGTCCCCTGTCTGCCGGCAGCCCCGCTCCCACCGCTGCTGCTCCCACAGCTGCTGCTGATGGTGTGGAGCGATTGGGGCTGGCACCAAGGAGCGGGTGCGAGTGGGGCTGGTGCTGTAAGTGTGTGCGAGCGGCGGCTGCTGCCCAGATCGCCCCTCAGGAGCAGAGGGAGGTGGAGAAGCCCTCAGGGACAATTGGGGCTGGCAACTGCTGCTCACACCCGCTGACGGCGCTGAGCGGTCAGGACCAGCACCAGACGCCGGCAGCAGGTGTGAGTGCCAGGTAGAACCGTGGCACGCAAGAGCTAGGAATTTTCAGTAACCACCAGAGGCTTGCCCTGATGACAGCGACTGGTGCCCTGCCTTGGTCTGGCGCCTCCACTCACCTGCTCCACCATTCCACTGCTACTGATGCCCGCCATGTTCCGCACGCACCTCCTGGTGGTCAGTGCGCACGTCATAGTGACCCGTTGTTTGGTTGTTCTGCCGTTCGGTCTATTTGCATATTAGAGTTTTATATATAGAGTTTTATTTTTAGAAAATTAAATTATGTTTCTAGTGATATATAAGAGTAATATGTAGAAAAGTTCCATGTTCTGCTTTTAGTTTGATGCAAATCTAATGAAGTTCTTTTGTTAACCATTAAGAATATTAAATATATCTTTTCTTTTAAATTCTTTCATGAAACAAGATCCAGTTGTTAAACCCAAAACTGAGAAAGAAAAGCTGAAAGAACTCTTTCCAGTCCTTTGCCAACCAGACAACCCTTCTGTTCGGGTACTGATACCATTTTGAGAATGTCTACTCTAACTGCATGTTACCCCCACCCAGTCTCTTTTCTTTGTCTCATTAGTTAATTTTTTTCTTTCTCTCTTTTTCCATTACTTATTATTTTAAGTTTTCCTTTATTGTAATATATTTTTCAAAGTGAAAATATTTGAATAATGTTAAAGGGTTCAAGAATGATATTTGAAGGAAATGAGATTAGGAATTGTGGAAAGCTGTGAATAGGGATATGAAATAGGTATGAAATAACTTAAGGTTCTGGAACAGATGCCTGATGTGTAAAATTAGATTTTTTGCTCCATTACTTGTTAGACTGTCTAATTTTTGAAATGTTTTGGTTTTAAAATTTTATTTTAGCAAGTATTTATTGAGTATCTACTATGTGCCAAGCACTGTTCTAAGTACCAGGGATACAGCAGTGAACAAGGTAGATTAGAGTTTCTGCCCTCTTGGAGATGGTTACATTCTAGTATTGGGGTGGAGGCAGGAAATAAATATGTAAACTCCTGTAGCAGAGAGGAGACAGGCAATAAACAAATAAGTAAGCACATATGTATATGTAGCTGACAGGGGTAAGAACTATAGAAAAAATCAAGCAGGTGAAAGGGAGAAGCAAATGCAGAGGGAGAGTTGCTTTTTAAAAATTTTAGCATCTATTTTCTATTTATAATCTTTGTTTGCATTGCTTTCACAGAAGGGGTGATATCTAATTTCCTTCCATAGCCTTGCATTAAGGACAAAGGGGATTTGCCAAATGTAGAAGTGACTTCCAAGAGCCTTTGCTCATACCTCTGCCTCTATCTCAAATTGTGTTGGGAATCTCTACCCTCCCTCCCCCCCCCCGCCCCTGCCGCTTCCTTCACATAGGCAGTTAGCAATGTGGAGACTGTCAGACTTATAGTACCTGAAGTACAGATTTTTTTTATAAGTGTTTATTTGAGCCAAACTGAGGACATTGTCAGAAAACAAGCTCTCAAATGCTCCTGAAGTACAGATTTTGAGTGATATTCTCCCCCCACCTCTTCTTCTCCTAACTTTTCTCCTCTGCCTCTGTAGACCATGCTGGATGAGGATGATGTGAAAGTCGCTGTGGATGTCCTGAAAGAACTGGAGGCTTTAATGCCCAGCGCAGCAGGCCAGGAGAAGCATAGAGATGCTGAGCACCGGTTTGTCCTGATGTCCTATCTTTTGGAAGTTTAGCATACTATGATAGTTGAATTTTGCGGACCAGCCAAGGAAAATTTTGGCTAGTGCCAAAATTTGGTAATGGCTAGTGCCCTTCTTTCAGACCAGTAATGGGCAGAATTTCTTTATCACTGGGGATTTTCACATTACAGAAAGTTATTATGATTAATGACACTTAAATCAGCCATATCAGTTGATTAGAAATTGATTTCGTGTTTGAAGTGTTGCAGAGCCATTTCTTCTTTCCTCGGTCTTCAGGAGATCTGCCCCTTGCCTGATTGAGACAGATAAGAGTCTGCTCAAATTTTGGGCTAGTTGACAGAATCTTAGACTGGCCATACAGCGTCGTCACGCGTGAGGATGAGCGAGTATGCTCGCACATAGTGCGCTAGATACGTGTCTACGAGAGTGAATAGTGGCGTCTCAGAGCTCGAATGTGTATGTGCGCTCTCATTCTTTATTGATCTCGCAGGGATATGTC